GGTAGGAGGACTGGATGGGAGATCAGAAATGGCTGGTGGACATGATGGTTCATCGCGATTCATTGCATTGCCTGCCCTCGCTGCTCCTGTGAAGAAACAGTGAGATTGGGATTTCACTTCACCTTTTTTTCCTTTTTCTTTTTGCGGTCCAATTCCGGTGAAAGAAACCGGCCAAAGCGCGACGCTGTTACACGCTGAATGGCTGAGGGAGTGAAAAAGTGGCAACTGGGGATGGCTGTTACACGCTGTTACGCGCCCGAGCATAGTCGATGGGAAGGGGACGTGAGCCATCTGCGGTGACGCCCATCGCGTGAGTGCCGACGGTGGTATCGGCAAGGCCTGTCGGCCCTCCACGTGCGACCACGGGCACGTAGACATATCGGCTACTGGGAAGCCTACAGGTACCCTATCGGCCGTTGGGTGGCCGACAGTCTGCTAAAGTTTATATTTTAACGTAACAGCTTCTAGATTTGCAATTAATCATTAAAAAATATTGTTTTAAAAAAAATCTAAGAAGCAGGACGAGCCCGCCCCGATAAATATTATTCAATGATTTTTTTACTGGCCACCGAAAGAAACATTCCCAGTACTCAGCTTGTAGAGCGTGCAGATTTATTCCCACGAAGTCTGTATTTCACTGTACCAAGTTACCATTTTCTTTCACCGACAGTACACATTACACAGTAGAATTTGCCGAAGCAATCAGTCCTCGGAGTTTTACATGCCACGTCAAAGTCAAAGTGGCACGCATGTATATATACCGTATACTACTTAATACGGAGTATATATTGTACCACGAAAATTTCTGTAACCCACCACCACCCACCTTTTATGCGCTATTGTCCTGTTCGCTTGGCTGATAAGTCATGGCTGAAAGTAGTTAGTTAGCTGACATAAACACATTATTAGATACAACTTGCATCCTTGTGACCTTGTCTGTTGCGTGGCCATAAATATATACTCGGAGCTTTAGTGCCTAATAAGCCATCGTTTTCATTTTTCTTGCACTGTGTACTGTGATTGTGATCGCCTAGAAGCTGAGGCACTTGTCTATCTACGACTACCGAGACGTGATCAGAGTATTTATTTATTTATTTATTGTTTCTGTCGTACGTAGCTAGTGGAGTGCTCAAGTGAAGTCCACCAGCAGTTGGTTGAGCTGAAGGCGGGCCTGAAGCTGAGCCAGGCCAACAGGAAAAGAAAACTGACGAAAGCGAGCGGAGAAAAGGCACAAGCTACGGGTGGATCGCTTCGCTTTGCTGCTCCACCAAGTTTGAACTGACCAGCTGCTATGCTAGCCTTGACATTGTTATTAATTTCTAGTAGTACTAACTAGGTCATTGGATATCGATTTGGACCCCCCCACTAGGATGGAAGTACACATGACACAGGAAAAGGTTAACAACAGTAGCACAAGAGTAGCCATCCATCAGCATGGCAATTGCCAATTGGCACTGTCTGTCTGTTGATTCTACTAGCTACTAGCCATTTTCTATCCGTCTAGCAGTGGTGTCTACGATGATGGATGCGATCGAGAGGCAATTCCTCCATTTTCTCAGCTACTAACCTACAACGGCGTGACCACCGTTCCGTTGCTCCGCGTGACCTGAACTGTGGAGAATGGAGGGAGAGGCACCATCAAGATCAAGCCAAGGGAATACCGTAAGAATTTTTGATTAATTGCAAATCTAGCATTTGAATCGTAAGAATTGTAAATATAGTGTACTGTCGGCTTCTGGTTGGCCGATAGGGACCCTATCGGCAACTAGTGGGCCGACAGGTCCCTCTCGGCGCCTCAGAAGCCAACTAGGTACCTGACCAAGCCAGACAGGACAGCCCAGTGGACCCATATCGGCCCGACAGGCATGTCGGCACCCGGTTAGCCGATGGGTCCCTGTCGGCATTCGGAGAGTAAAATATATAACCGGTCATCTTCTCCCTCGCGCTCTCCCTCTCGCTCGCTCTTTCTCTCTCGCTCCGCATCGGCGCGCTGTCGGCCGGCGCTTCTCCTGGCTCGCCGCCGAATCCGGCGGAGGGCTTGCCGCCACTGCCGGCCCCTGGCCCGCACAGGGGGGGCCCCCCAGCACCGCCGCCGGCCCCGGGAGTTCTCAGGTACGTTTTTTTTTTTTTTTAGTTAGTATAGTTATTATTTGGCAGTTTAGTTTTTTAGTTTAGTTAGATTTTGTTAGCTTAGTTAGATTTTGTTCGTTTAGTTTATTAAATAGATTTAGTTTTAGGAGTACTTTTAGTTTTAAGGTTAGGTTAACTTTTAGGGTTAGTTATTAGTTTTTTCTATTTAGGGTTAGTTAGTTAGTTTAGTTAATAATTTTTCTTTGACGGATCGGGAGGACGTTCTCGTCCATCCCAGCACGAGCCGCGACAGAGAGTTCAAGTCGTAGGTAATTCAATGATTACTTTCCTGATTTCTCATGTACTATGTACGTGATATGCTCTATCTAGCCTTTTTTTATAGGTACACGTGCTTCTTGCAGTGACTACACGGAGGATACTATCAGCTTTGGGACCTTTCACACAGACAACACTTCACATTGGTTCCTCGAGGAGGTAGGGCCCTCCCAGCTTTTTGGTGCACCTCTACCGACTCACGGTACTGAGCATATGGAGTCGACCCCACTTGCACGACAACGACGCCCTCCAGACCAGTGGACTTACCCTACGGTCCAGGTTCGTCACCGAGGTGCGCAGGCACCTAAGTGTGGTAGTCATGTAGGACTATATGGTTGTATGCTAGCATGGATGTATGCATGCGAACTAATGTACTATTGGATTTGTGATGCGAACTAATGAACTAATGTGCGCACTTTTGCAATGGAGGCAACGCTCCAATACAGTCCCTCGCCTGCATCGTGGCAAATGACAATTAAAACGTAAAAGAATATTGTTTACCCTTTGCATTGAGTATTCTAGCCGGAGATGGTTGTGTTCGTAAAAAAGTATCACATCGGGTGATGGCTGTCTAGAAAAGAAGAAATACATCATGAAATAGAGTTGTCGGTCATGTGAGAGCCTGACAGTGGTATTGGCAACTGGGAAGCCGACTTCCTGACCTGTCGGCCATCTAGCTGCCGACAGGACCTGTCGGTGCCGACAAGCTATTTTGGCTGGTGTCGGTTGCCACGTGTGCCACGTAGACCTATTGGCTAGTGAGCAGCCAACACACCATGAAAAGTAAGTTAAGATGCTTATTAATGGATGATGTGAAGATGCAAATGCTGATAGGATTGTTTCTCTTTTCTTTTTTACAAGTTTTTAGGATGAAACATCCTGGTTGGATTAGTGCTAAGTTTTCTTTCTGAGCTTTTTACCTGTATGGCCTGAAAAAAAAGTGCTTCTTTCTTGTATGGCCTCTTTTTTGAACTTACATGTATGGCCCCAAAACGAAATTCCCTTCTTCTATGGCCTACTGTCCGTTTTTGGTACTTGACGTTGTCAAGTCAAAGGTAAAATGACCATTTTACTCCTGGTGAAAAAAATAAAATGTAGAGTTTTATTTGTCTGTGGTATATTTAGAGTAATATTATGTAAATAAGTTCATACATAACAGTACATAAGAAGACACATAATCAAGTACGCAAATACATTGCAATAAAATGAGCTTATCAAATGCATAAAAAATTGCACAAATGCATTGCAATTAACCATAGTTTCATGCATAAATTGTTCATAAATCCACCGTAGTTTCAGTCTCATATAAATAAGGTCTTACAAAAGTGCGATTTCAAATATACATGGGTCTACAATGCAACCAGCGCTGCTGCACGCGAGGTCGTGAGCATCAGAAATCGACGACGGGACGAGCCACGTCTTGATGACACGATTCTTCTCGCCCTTGCCGAGCGCCCACGCTCCAGTGACCATCCCTTCCTCGTCAGGTCATACTCCAGGAGCCGGAGCTTCCCAGCCGACCACACGTACACGACGTCCTTCATTCTCCGGGTCACGGATGCAAGCAGGCGTGCCTGCAGGCCGCCGCTCCATCCGCTGTTATTATTAGCCGACGACGCAGGGCCAGCTAGCACCTGCAATAGCCTACAGGGCTGTGCAGGAACCAAACAAGCAGGATGCGGACACCTGCAGCAGCCTGCATCCTTCATATAGCTAGTTATGATTGAATCCTATACTACAATAATCCATACGGAGTAGCTATCAGTTCTTTGCACAAGAAATTCAGAAACTTCAGGCACAAACTGACAACCATGAGCAGATCAAACAACGCTAGGAGATCAGATACCATGGCCGCAGGCACTGTGGTCGCGTTTATCTCGTCGTCCTCGAGGCCAGGGAGGGTACCGACGAGAGGGCACCGAGTGCCACTGCCAGCGGCGGCGGGGCGCCAGGTGACAGCGGACAAGAGGCGCCTGCCCGCGCCCAAGCATAGTCGATGGGAAGGGGACGTGAGCCATCTGCGGTGACGTCCATCGCGTGAGGCCCGACGGTGGTGTCGGCTAGGCCTGTCGGCCCTCCACGTGCGACCAGACCTATCGGCTACCGGTAAGCCGACAGGCACCCTATCGGCTGTTGGGAGGCCGACAATCTATAACAGCTTCTAGATTTACATTTAATCATTAAAAAATATTATTTTTAAAAAAAAAATCTAAGAAGCAAGACGAGCCCGCCCCGATAAATATTATTCAATAATTTTTTGTACTGGCCACTGAAAGAAACATTCCCAGTACTCAGCTTGTAGAGCGTGCAGATTTATCCTCACAAAGTCTGTATTTCACTATACCATGTTACCATTTTCTTTCACCGACCGTACACACTACACATTTGAATTTGCCGAATCAAACAGTCCTCGGAGTTTTACATGCCACGTATACTAATTAATACGGAGTACATACTGTACCACGAAAATTTCTGTAACCCACCACCACCCACCTTCTATGCGCTATATCTTGTTTCACACAAGTTATCAAACCAAACTGGTTCGCGCCGTCTGTCATCTCAGCAGCTCAGGTGGCGTCAGGTTGAGCACCATGTCAGGCCCTTCTCGCCGGTGGCCGAGTACTCGTCCGGGCGTCCGGCACAGGCAGGCCCAGTTCTTCAAGGACGAGCCGGATGACGCCGCGCGTGACGCTCCCCAGCGACAGCTTGTTCACCATAACCGCGATGGCAAAGTTGTTCTCCACGTCGCAGAACCCAGTCGACCCGCCCATCCCGGAGTGACCGAAGTACCTCATCTTGCCGCTGCTGGCATTGTTGTACCTCCTGAACCCAAGCCCGAACTTGCCGTCCTGTTGCGCCATGCCCTCGTACTCGCCGACGCCCATGAACGCGTCGAGGATCTTGTCGCTGCTGAACATCCTGCTGCTGCCGCCACTTCCCAACACCACCACCGCAGCTTCACTAGTTCACTGTCGGCGTCGGTGGTGCGCAGCTGGCTGTACCCGTTCTTGTCAGTGCTGCTGACATCCTGGAGGTTTCCCGTGGAGACACTGCCGCCCTTCTTCTTTCCCGTGCCCTTCTTCTTCTTGAGTGGCACGGTTGGGAACTTGGGGGTGTGCACATGGCTGCCGAGGGGCGGCTTGGAGCCGGAAGAGTGCGGCGGAGGAACAGAACCACCTGTTGCTAGCGCCGCGTAGTATCGAGCTAGCGCACGAGCGGAGCAGTGGCCATTGGCAGCAGGGATGATGGCCCGCCGGACATAGCGTGTTGAAAAGAGCTGGTAGGCCAGACGCCATCTGCGCGATGTTGTTCAGCAAAGCTGGTGGCACATCTGCCCCTGCCCTGATTCCTGATAGCTTCTGGAGCTCCTCGGTGTCAACTGTCAGCGCTGCCAGCCGAGATTCAACACCTGAGAATGCCACGGATGTCAGACAAAAGCGTATTAGAACAAGATAGTATGCATATCGGTAAGAGTAGATATTCCATCGAGGAGCTTGAAACTTCAAGATAAAGATTTACTACCTTTTATATGAACTGACCAAATAAGCACTAAACATTGTGAAATCATACAGAAAGGGTGACTACCTGAAATTTACTATTGCAACATGAAATGGTAAAACTGTGGCGCTGAAGCCTTAAACTTCATTGGTAAAAAAATTTAAATCATTAAACCGATGCAGTCCTCTACAGATGCATATGTAGTTTCTCCCACACTCATAGTTTGGCTGACAAATATCTGCCCTCCATTGACCCCCCCCTTCCTGGTAGCCCCTCGATCTCCGGTATGGAGATATCCGACCACTCACTAGTGTTGCCGAGCACACACTAGCGATGCCGACCACGAACTGTCGTTGCCGACCATACACTATGGCTAGAGGTAGAAGAAGGGAGGAAGAACAGAGCATACACATACAACAGAGACACCAGCGTTGGCCGAAGCTCTGTAAGGAGATGGCAAATCTGAACTCTGTGGTGTGTGTATGCTCTGTTCCCCCTCTCTTCTTCTACCTCTAGCCATAGTGTGTGGTCGGCAACGACAGTTCGTGGTCGACATCGCTATTGTGTGCTCGGCAACACTAGTGAGTGATCGGATATCTCTATACCGGAGATCGAGGGGCTAACAATTCCCTCCTAGGTAGAAAAATCTAATATTTGAGATATCAAATTATTTTTTCTTGCTCCCGAGGACAACCAGAAATAAATCTCGAGAGCAAATTGGATTTCTTATCATAAAATAAGCTACAGATTAAGTGCACAGTGTTAAAAAAAGGATCTAATATTTGTAATCAGTCTAAGCCCTGATTCATAAGAGATCTGCAACATACCTGGTGGAATGCCAACATATAGCTCCCCCTCAATGTGAAGAGGGCGAACAATAGCCTCTTCTAGAACCTCTTGAAACTTCTTCCCAGATGCATGCTATTATTGTCAAATACCAGAGTTAGATTCATGAAATTCAGTTACAACATTACATTGATTTACAGACCCCCATAATTAAGCTATGGGACCCAAACAAGATAACTTGATGGGGGTTTACATCTAAATTTAGCTAAGCATTAACCTTAAAATTAGTATGACCCACACAACAGTCTATTAACATAATTAACAAAGGTCAACTCTCTCATTACAAACAAGGCTCAATTTATGTGATGGCAGGAAGAAACATACCTCTATGACTCCCCCACACAGCCAACCAAAGGAGAGGTAATGGTAAATTTGTGTGGAACCAGGTTCGATCTCAGGTGTACACTTCGTAATCTGGTTTAGTGTCTCCTCCCAGTCACATACCAACAAAGGATCATTCTTCACCACATCACCCAGTGCATTGTGCAAACCGGATGTGTGATTTAGAAGATGATGGACCTTTATTAGGATTTAGGAAGTAGCCAATGCGATAGTCTATTAGCCAAGAAATGTCATGTCTCATCAAATAACAGACGCGGCGAAGTTTTATATGTTACCTTTATTAACTCTTTTCCATTAGTTCCAAAATTTGGCCATATGTTGGCAACTGTTTCCTCATACTTCAGCTTCCTGAAAGATTGGATTATGATGTCACACAATAGCTGGTGCAACTTCAACTTGTCGAATAAATGTCAAAATGCACAGTTGAAGTTCTTAACATCTATTTTGACAATTCTACATTACACTCACAAAAACAGACAGGTTAGAAATGGTTGTTGGACCATTTTTCTTAAAATAGTCCCAAGTGGACCATTAAGTAAGCAATTTTCCATGTAATCTCCTTCAATTAAAAAGAACAAAGTGTAGATATTTTTTGGTGCGACATTTGTTTTGGTTCGTCCATCTGCCCACGCCTGCGATCCCACGACATCTCCTTGATTAAATATTGCCTGTCATGTGATAGAGGAATAACGGTAAAATAGGAAATAGAAAATTATTGTGCTATCCATATACACATTACATGTTTGCATGCACCAGCATACATGGCAACGAGCAAAAGGAAAGAGAATTAACATAGAAGGAAAGATAATCTCCTACAACTAAAAAGAACAAAGCGTGGACACTTTTTGGTGCGACATTTCAACGTGGGCCCATAGTCCTGCCTACTGCGTTCCCCCCCTCGCTCCTACACCCATCCCTTACAACAAAATTCTTCCTTCCAAACTAGTCATGCACAATTATAGCAATACAATTTGCTAAATGAGGACTATATATACGAATGATTGATTATAGACCAATCTCCATTCTTTTTTTTGGAAGGAAGAAAGAATATCAAGGATTATGTGAAACCGAGCAACCAGACCACCTTCCATGCACGGCGCCACAATGGTGCATGCAAACAGGAATCGTGCATGTGCAATCAAGAAGGAAGCCATGCAACCAATCAAGAAGGAAACTGCCATCATCAAAGACCACACCAACCACAAGCGGCACGTTAGCATGGCTCATCAATCTCTTCTCTCATCACATTTAAAAAGACTAAAAAGTGGACATCGTTTTGGTGCGACAATCTAATGTCGGGTCGTCGGTCTGCCTGCGTGTGATCCCATGCTCGTTATCCCACCCGGCGTCGTCGCCCCCCACAATGGCCCACACGGCGCTTCTTCCCTAAAAATGCCACTCCACGCGAGAATCACGTGATCATGTCTCATCATATGCCACTAATAGACGGAAACCTACGGCCAAACGGCGTCCACCAGTCGTAAGCGCTTGTGAAAAAAATCTCAAATTGCCTGGCCGAATAGGAAGGAGGGGAAACTGACGTCCATCTTGGCGTAATTAATGCTCGTGAAAAAAAATCTCACATCTCCGGCCAGCCAAATAGGAAGGGAAGAAACGGACGTCCATCCGGCGTAATTAAGACTTGCCAAAAAATACGTCACTTCTCTTTCCTAAAATCACATTACATGCAAGCCCGGATTTTCATATTCTCTCCTCCTTCTCTCTTTCCTTGTAGCGACAACCTCACAAAAGAGAGGCATACGAGATCAGACGCCATATCCTGCTTCCCCACCCCACCACGAACCATCGTCGCTCTGGCCGTCATCGATCATCGTAGTGGATCGATCATCGCGCAAGCCGCAGTTCAGCTCGTCCTGCCCATGGAAGAAAGGAAAGGAACAGCATCCAGCGGCCAACCGGACAGCTAGCGTGCGTCTCCGCTAGGCCCTCCCCACCGGCTCGCCGTCGTCAAAGGATCAGTACGTCTCCGCCAGCGTCTTCCACCGCTGTTGCCCTCTTGGTAGGGCAAAGTCCATTGTCCTCGTCAGTTTGACAGTTTGGCCGCTGCACCCATCGATCTCGGCAGTACTAGGCGTAACCGCGCATAACCCCGCCTACCGCATCATCACCCAGGTATATATGTCTCCAAAACTTTCGTGGCCAATCGTCACTTGGTTAGTATTCCGGTTGCTTCTCCAGCTTTCAAGTGCAATTCCTGTTTGGATGTTCCGTATAGTATTCAGGTTGCTTCTCCCGCTTTTTTTTAGGCCTCCATTTAGGTTCTATGTCATCCAACTAAACAAGCCAGTTAGGAGCAAGTACCGCAATACAAATTTATATTTTTGTTTATGATAATTAATGTTACTTTAGCTTTAAACAATAATTGTTTATATGCAGGGCCATACTTTCATAAACAGGATAGCTGCAGGTGACATATTAACATCGAGTTTTGTCCTGGCAGTTTGCAATAAGATTGTTTTGATTTCTTCAAAAAATAAGATTGTTTCAATTTTATGCTAAAACTTAAATTATATTTTAATTGTTTACGCATCATGAAGACGGATTTACAAAAAACAAAGGTTCTGAACATCTCTTAAATTACATTTTAATTGTTCGTGCATCATGCTTATGTCGACCCTGTGCATGCTGGAGCTTTGGCCAGCAGATGGCAGGGCAGTAGCTATAGGAATTAATATGCTCTATTTAATTATTCTTTGCAATATTATTTGCTTGATCATAAGGCATAAGAGCAGGAGAGCATAACAGTTCTGTTTTAGTTCAGTAGTTGAGTCATCTTGCGAACAGAAGCACAGTGCAATTTATTCATGATTCAAATTATGTGTTTTTGGAGCTTCCTAGAATTTTCGTTCTGATCCACATATAGTTTTCGTGTTGTAGAGGCTGTACTACTGGGAGCAAGAATGCCACAATAGCTGGTATTGTTGTGACAGTTCCCACGGTGTGTAACTGTTTGTGTTATTAGTAGTATATATTTAGTTTATGTGGACTTCCTACCAATAAATTAATGAACATGCTTAAGAGAGGGTATATTATCATTTCGTTTTCTTTTGGGGAAATATATGCATCATTTTGGTATTCAGATCAAGCAGTGGCGATCCAGCCCCGAATGGCCGCGCTAGGCCGGCGGGCGTAAACTTTGTGGCACTCGCGTCCGCCCGGTAACGCAGCACTCGCGCATCCTCTTCTCCGGCATCATCTCCCTCCCTCCACCGCCGCAACCGCTGGGACACGCAAAGGTGCGATCTTAACACTGGATTTGGCTCCCCTCGCGCCATTGGTCCCCAAAGGCATCGCCTTTGCTTTGATCTGTTGTTTTGTGTGGTCATGGGTTGCTTGTGATCTCTTCTCTAGGGGCGGTTTCCCGGCCGGTTACTGACTTAATGTTGCGGGGCCAGAAGTGGGTCGCTAGGCTATAGTTCTTGCCGTCGTGGAACGCCAAATCTGGAGCTCAGAGTAGAGTGGAGGCCTCCGTGCCTCGTCGATGTCCAGTCATGGCTATCCATGCAGAATGAGCTATACTTTGATCAGCTTCATAGCAAGTGATGATTTTGAGTAGTTAATACCTTCTTGCCAGATATATTTTAATCTACCTAGGTAGTGGGAAAATAACAAAGGACACAGGAATACCTCTATATTTTAAGTTTTCCTTTTGCATAATACTATATAAAACTTGACTGTGAACAGGGGCCATGACAACTTAGGAAGCCATCTGCAGGGATCATCTCCTATTCCAGAGTCACTGAAAAATGTTCAAGTTACAAAAAATTAGAAAGAGATGTTTCTTGTTTGACTACATTGTCTATCCCTTCTTCTATATACAACATCGAGTTCTAAAATCTGAATTGCATTGAAATTTTGCTTGCCTCCTGTAACTACTTGTGTTCTAGAAAGGGTGAGTAGCTTTGTTGCAATTTCATGATCTGTGACTTCTTAAGTATGATAATCCCATTATAGTATGCTAGAATTATAGTCTGTTCGTTACAAGTCTTTTATATTGAATTAAATATTGTCTACGTCTCATTGAGTTACTAATGGAACAATGTTTCAAAGCGGTAAAGGCATACTAAACTGGATCATAATTCAATACTAGGTAGCGTGCCCGTGCGTTCCTACGGGACAACTAAATCTTTTGTACTAAAAACACACGGATCGCACGATAAGATAACAATACTGTTAAATTAAATACCGACGTTAAAGTGACATTTAATTCAAAAAACAAAGTTCGTGAAATTAACACATTCACGGAGCGCGCAGCGTCGCAGGCTCACAAACTCTACTGTATAGACTGTTTCGTGATATGGCTAAGATAATATTTTATATCGGCAGAAAGAATTCTCCGATATCCATTTCTTTCATGCGTCAATAAATCCATGAATAAGTTCCGCTGCATCTCCATATAATCATGTACACACAAGTTCGAGTATATATGTAAATATTAGTGCCTGTCACATGGATAATACTGCGTGTCTTAAAAAATCTCTCATAAAATTTTAAAACAAAGTATGTTATACTCACCGTATAAATATGTGTGGCTTTAGGACTATTCCACACAGACATATATTGTAGAATAAAATATCCATTTGAGTTTCTGTTCCAAGATGTTGAATTAGGTGTTGTAATTCTTAATTTCGATATATTTTTCAGGTCAAGGCAACCAATGGTGACACTTTTCTTAGTGGTGCATAATTTTATGGTGCACCTCTTGACTATCTGAGTAAGGACAAGCTAGCACTGCAAAGACTCAGAAAAGCTGCTGAGAAGGCCAATGTTGAGTTTTCCTCCACTATGCATACTATAACCTATGTCCCCGTTTATCATTGCCGATGCTTTTGATGCAAAGCAATTCAACATTACCATGATCAGATATAAGTTTGAGTCTCTTGTGAGCAATCTCATAGAGGGACTCTCATCCTTTATGTGATCTGCCTCAAAGATATTGGTAGAACGATGGACCCATGTTGGAATGTCGCACCAAAAAATGTCCACGTTTTGTCCACGATTTATTTCCCATGAATACATGCGGGTACTATGATAACACTAACTACACCAAATGAAAGATTAAAGAGAATTTGCATTGCCTCCAGAATGATTTATTTATTAAGTTCTTTGAACTCTACAGGTAGTTTTGAAATATCTGTTTGCATGTCTTATCTCGTATCCTAATTCAAAATTTTATAGTTTAATTAGAATATTTAGGTGATTGTATATATATAATATTCAATACAAGAATAATCTATGCATGATCTTCTTGAAAGATTTCTGCAGTGTAAAGACATCTTCGTTTTTCATGCATGCCCGTGCTAACGCTACGGTAAAAACAAAAGGAC